CTGGGATTTGAGGGCTTCCTGCTCGTATTCTGTTTTCCCACTGGGGTTTGGGGTCTCCCCGTCACCACCCCCTGCTCCTGGGGGGGTTTTGGGGTGTCCTTGGTGGGGTTTTGGGGGGCCCAGAGGGATTTGGGGGTCCCTGTGGCATTTGGGGGTCCCTGGGGGTCACTCACACTCCAAAATTCCACTGGGATTTGGGGGTTTCCCACTCCTATTCCATTGTCCCAGTGGGGTTTGGGGTCTCTCCGTCACCAATTCCTGCTCCTGCTGGGATTTTAGGGGGTCTCTGATGGGATTTTAGGGGTCCCTGGGGGGTTTGGGGGGTCCCAGAGGAATTTGGGGGTCCCTGAGTGTGTTTGGGGGTCCCTCACACTCCATAATCCCACTGGGATTTGGGGGCTTCCTGCTCATATTCTGTTTTCCCAGTGGGGTTTGGGGTCTCTCCATCATCACTCCCTTCTCCTGGGGGGATTTTAAGGGGTCTCTGATGGGATTTTAGGGGGTCCTGGGGATTTGGGGGGTCCCTGGGGGAGTTTAAGGGGTCCCCGAGGGGTTTGGGGGTTCCTCACACTCCACAATCCCACTGGGATTTGGGGGTTTCCCACTCCTATTCCATTGTCCCAGTGGGACTTGGGGTCTCTTCATCACCACTCCCTGCTCCTGCTGGGATTTTAGGGGTCCCTGGGGGGGTTTGGGGGGTCCCTGGGGGATTTGGGGGGTCCCAGAGGGGGTTTGGGGGTCCCTGAGTGTGTTTGGGGGTCCCTCACACTCCACAATCCCACTGGGATTTGGGGGATTCCTGTTTATATTCCGTGGTCGCAGTGGGGTTTGGGGTTCCCCTGTGGGCTCCTGGTGTTTTTGGGGCGCAGAGCGGTAGTTTTGGGGTGTTTTGGGGAGTTTTTTGGGCACAGTGGGACGTTTTTGGGGTGGTTTTGGGGTATTTTTGGGGTGCAGCACTGACCCTTCACCCTGCAGTGGCTTTGGGCCATTTTTGGGGTGTTTTGGGGTGTTTTTTAGGCACAGCGGGCCGTTTTTGGGGTGGTTTTGGGATATTTTTGGGGTGCAGCACTGACCCTGCCCTGCAGCGGCTTTGGGGTATTTTTGGGGTGCAGAGGGCTGTTTTTGGGGTATTTTTGGGCTGGTTTTGCGGTATTTTGGGGTGCAGTAGGGTATTTCGGGGTGCAGCACTGACCCTGCCCCCTGCAGCGGCTTTGGGGCATTTTTGGGCTGGTTTTGGGGTATTTTTGGGGTATTATTTTGGGTGCAGCACTGACTCTGCCCGCAGCGGCTTTGGGGTATTTTTGAGCTGGTTTTGGGGTATTTTTGGGGTGCAGAGGGCTGTTTTGGGGTATTTTTGGGGTATTATTTTGGGTACAGCACTGACTCTGCCCGCAGCGGCTTTGGGGTATTTTTGGGGTGCACAGGGCTGGTTTTGGGGTATTTTTGGGGTATTTCTGGGCTGGTTTTGGGGCACAGCACTGACCCTGCCCCACAGTGCCTTTGGGATATTTTTGGGGTATTTTTGGGCTGTTTTTGGGGTGTGTTTGGGATATTTTGGGTGCAGCCCTGCCCCTGCCCTGCAGCGGCTTTGGGATATTTTTGGGCTGTTTTTGGGGCTGGTTTTGGGGCTGGTTTTGGGTGCAGCCCTGCCCCTGCCCTGCAGCAGGTTTGGGATATTTTTGGGGTATTTTTGGGCTGGTTTTGGGGTGTCTCTGGGATATTTTGGGTGCAGCCCTGCCCCTGCCCCGCAGCCCTTTGGGGTATTTTTGGGCTGGTTTTGGGGTGTGTCTGGGCTGTTTTTGGGGCTGGTTTTGGGGCTGGTTTTGGGCGCAGCCTTGCCCCTGCCCCGCAGCAGGTTTGGGATATTTTTGGGGTATTTTTGGGCTGGTTTTGGGGTATTTTTGGGCTGTTTCTGGGGTGTCTCTGGGATATTTTGGGCGCAGCCCTGCCCCTGCCCCCAGCAGCTTTGGGATATTTTTGGGGTATTTTTGGGCTGGTTTTGGGGTGTCTCTGGGATATTTTGGGTGCAGCCCTGCCCCACAGCAGGTTTGGGTTGTTTTTGGGGTATTTTTGGGCTGTTTTTGGGGTGTCTCTGGGATATTTCGGGCGCAGCCCTGACCCTGCCCCACAGTGCCTTTGGGATATTTTTGGGGTGTGTCTGGGCTGTTTCTGGGGTGTCTCTGGGATATTTTGGGTGCAGCCCTGCCCCTGTCCCGCAGCAGGTTTGGGTTGTTTTTGGGATATTTTTGGGCTGGTTTTGGGGTGTCTCTGGGATATTTTGGGCGCAGCCCTGCCCCTGCCCCGCAGTGCCTTTGGGGTATTTTTGGGCTGTTTCTGGGGTGTCTCTGGGATATTTTGGGCGCAGCCCTGCCCCTGCCCCCAGCAGGTTTGGGATATTTTTGGGGTATTTTTGGGCTGTTTCTGGGGTGTCTCTGGGATATTTTGGGCGCAGCCCTGCCCCTGTCCCCAGCGGGTTCGACCTGGCCAATCA